TCATTCAGCATTACTCACTGTAGCACTGGCATACTACAGAGCACTGAGCCCTTTCATCTTTGTGGCTATCCCTGACTTTGTGCAGCTCTTGGGTTCTTCCCTGTACCAACCCTGCCAACATTCCATCCACTATTCTGATCAATATTGACATAGCTAACCTCAACATTACATGTTATCAGCCTTTGGCATAGACTCTCCATGGAGATTAGTAAGGAGCAGAGATGTTATTTCAGGTTGCCTACAGATTGAGGAAAGCAACTCAGTTATAATTGGCTCCCATTTTTAAAGGTTTTCTCTGCAACCCTGAGAGTTAGAAATTTAGAAAAACTCAGAATGTACGTAATCTGAATACGTCATATGGACATGGATGACTTTTAGCATTCAAGAGGTGCACCACCCTCCTGTGCCCCTGCCAAAATCTTAACTGCTGAATGGGGTCAGCAGAAATCTGAAAATAGAAATCTGTAAGAGCACCACGTACTTCTGTCCTTTCTAGCACGGTAGAGAACATTCTGCTCTATTGTCATTCTATTTTGTCTTGAATGAAATACTCATGATTCTAGGACAAAGATGATTTGAACAGAGTTCAGTACAATTCAGTGTGCAATATTAGGAAGGAAGAAGTATTATTATTATTATTATTTATTATTAGATGTATTATAAAAGAGGGCTCCTTCTATCCAAAGCGCTGGGTGTGTCTGCCAGGAAGTACACAAACAAAATTCTGTATAAAACACTCAGCTCTTTGTTCCTACCACCCATCCGATGACTCTCAAAGGTTCATCTCTGCAGCAGCCCACACATCAGCATATTCTGCAAGACATGCTTAAGTTCAATAAACATGGGCTATTTTAGACCAGAGAGGAAGCCTGTGTCAGCACAAAGGCTGCTCACAGAAAACACCACCAGCAGTGCCTGCTCTTTTAAATCAAGGAGTATCCCACACAAATGCCTTCGTTGACTGCAGTTGTGGCAGCACAGAAGCAAAAGTCTCTCTAGCAGCAATATCCCAGCTCATTTAGGACTTTATAGATTAAAACCTGCAGCTTAAACTCAGTCTAAAAAACAACAGGTAGCACCCATAAATCACCAGTGAGACATGCTGCCAACAGGAAGCACTGCTTTTGTGCCATCTTAAATTTCCAGATAGATCTGCTGCTATGTAATCAACAAGACAATGGCTTGGGATCCAACACAACCCCTGCTTCCTAAGCACAGGTAATGTGATGTGAACATAGTGTTAATCAAAGGGAGTTAGGATTACGTATTGCATTTGTGCCTTTTTACTAATGGGAATGCCAGTTTTGCACCACAGGCGCCTTATGCACTATAGCTCTGTTCCATAAGTTATAATCACGAGCCATGCATTTGATCACAAAAGGAGAGCCTGAACACATCAAGCAAGGGCAGTGTGTAATATAAAAACAATGTGGAGTCCTGTGGCACCTTAAAAGACTGACAGATTTATTTGGGCATACGCTTTTGTAGGTAAAACCTGCTGCATTTGATGAAGAGGGTTTTACCCACAAAATCTTATTCCCAAATAAATCTATTAGCCTTTAAGGTGCCACAGGACTCCTCATTATTGAAAATACAGATTAACACAACTACCCCTCTGACTGTGTACTATATATATGTATAATATCTTTGTATTATAAACACGATAATGTGGTACAGTATTAATCAGAAATAACGTGTAGCTTGTATTTTTCACACAGCAGCTTTTCATTTCCTTGAAAGGTCACCCTTAGTAGCAGCTCAGCGACAGGATTTGTTGCTTAATAAGGCATATGTTGACTAGGATACTACATTTCCCACCATTCATTGCTTGGGCATCCTACGGTGGCGTGTAGTTAAAGGCAGGAATCCTTTTCTCTATTCGCACGTTAGCCAGCTGACTGAAATACTTCAAAGCAGCTATGGCTACCTTCCACGCACACGCAGGATTGTTAGTGGATTAGCGTGGGTGATTTTAAATTTAAAAGATTAGAGAGAGAACAAGGTAGAGTTCCCTGCGCGCATAACCCCAAACGATATCAAACTATTTCGGTTTAGTGTTTTTTTTTTAAGCTTTGAAAATGTATTCTACGAGGCTTTTTTCCTCTGAAATTATTCCTGTTGTGGCCACAGCCAACGAGGCTAAGTACAAACATAAATATGAGGAAAATACTGTGCAGCTATTAACTGATCTCCCCTCCCAGAAGTCTGCTCAACTCAATGTTTTAGCGAATGCCTTTTAGGGAGTTTTGTTTGCAATGCATTTGATATACTTTTTTTTCATGGCTCTTCCATAAAAGTGGGCTCTTCCGTTGTCTCTTCACCATTTCTTTTCCATATTAAAATATTTTTCATTGAGATGCGTGACTTTTCAAGGAATGTAATGTATTACTTTTTTTAGCCCTGTAATCTTTGTGACTTTTCAATGAATGTAATGTATTACTTTTTTTAGCCCTGTAATACTTTTGTTTGCTGCTGCTGTTCTATCTAAATTTTCGTTCTAGCACAGCATGCTAATGGGGACTCATTTGCATGAAGGCAGTTTTTTAAAAAAATATTTTTTATGCCGGTTGGTTTCGTTACGCATCCACGAAAAAAATATATATTTTTTTGCCGGTTGGTTTCGTTACGCATCCACGTCATTAAATAAATCCCCTCGTGTTCAATAAATTGTCACACAGACGTTAAACTGCTGCTAAAGTGCATGAGGCAAACCTAGCTTCTGAATGAAGCAACAGCGTCCTGAGTCTAATCCCTACGAGCCTATTGTTAAAGACACGGATCACAATTTGGATTAAAATATTTTATAAATGTTAGATCCTACTCCCTTCTCGCCTAATAATCTCACTTTTCCCTAGAGCTCACCGAATGCTTTCCTCCCTTAAAATATCGGGCTACATCTATTAGGTTGTCTCTCTGCTTCATGTATTTACTTATTTTAAATCGTGTGTTCGCTTCTCCCCAATTAAAAAAAAAACACCCATCTGAACTGAAAAAGAAAACTATTAGACGGGGTATACGAGCACACAAACCAAAAGGGAGGCAGTAGAGAAAGAGATGGAAATGTCAAGGACAAACGGTTGAGGATTTAAACTCTGTATCTAAATCAAATCGTTAATTCCTTGCATTGTTTTTTTTAATTGACAAACTATTTGTATGAATATTCCCTATGTCAAACCTTGTAATTTTGCTCGGAAGGGTGGGTGGGTAGCGATATGTGGATTCATATATGTATACATATATTTGTTTGGTCGTTTTCATATTGCTAGGATTGCAGGTTATTTTATTGTTATTAAAAAAAGTATTTCAGATTAATTTTAACTCCCTCCATCTGAAATTACTCGATACTATAAGGTCTCAGATTTCAGCCCCGCACCTCAATTTTTGCATTCACGATGTTATTTTATTGATGTGTTATAAAAGGAAAAGAGGGAAGAAAGCAACCTATATCCTTCCAGCAAAATGGCGATGGCACGTACATTTAATCTAATAGCAATTAAACACATTCCCAGAATATGTAAATTACATTTACACTGCTGATGATCTGCCCCTCTCGCAGTCCCAGGTTCCCCCCCTCCTCTAGTCTCCTCAAAAACCGTGGAAATATATTTTTAAACGATACAATCGATTCCTTACTAAAATATGCAGGAGGAAATAAAACAGCTCAGGATTGCTCCTGTGCAAGTCTCCAAAACAGTTTATGAGGGCAAACGGGATGGGGAGGGGGCAGGTGCAGCGCCGGGGGTATCAGACTGAATGTGTGCTAAGGGCTTGGGTGGGATATGTGACGTGTGGGGAGTCTATGTACCCCAATTTCTTCTCCATGGTAGCTGGATTTGTTGTTGTTTAGGAATCTCTGTGCCCAGTGGGGTATTGTTTTGGGGGACAGGGGTAATTGAGGGAAGTCCGCTCCTTATCCCTGATGTCCCCACATGGCTCAGCCATGGCTGGGGCATGTCCCCTTTCCGTGTGCCCCCAGCTCCTGGCAGGGGGCAGCCAGGGGGACGCCTGGGGGAGGGGTATGGCTGCAAACTTCCCATCTAACACCAAAGAAAGTTTTGCAGAGCACGAGTTTGGGGAGGGGGCAGGAGGGGGGGTCCCGGGGCAGAGGGCGGGGGCTTCCCCCCTGGGAGCCCCCCAACCTTAGGGGAGCCACCCCTCCCCCTCTTCCCCGGCCAGGTCGGGCTGCACCTCGCCCGGCTCGGGGCTCCCTGTGTTAGTTGGGGTCTGTTCCCGGGGGCCCCGAGAGGGTCCCGGGGCCCGCAGCGGGCCGGGATGGGGGTCCCCCGGCGGCCCAGGCCTGGCCCTTGCCCCCGGTGGCTTGTGCCGGACC